GAGTGAACTAACTCTTCTGGTGCAGCCTCATGCTATTGACTCATTGAGCGTGCAATCCACTAAAACCCACAGATATTTTATAGATGAACAGCCATTTAGCCTTCCTTCTTCCATATTTGACTTAGGTAATTGATTTTTAACCCAAATGGATAATAACAGTAATAGTTGTTTGTCATCTGGATGGTACAATTTATAAAGCTGAGGACCTGGAGTCAGGAAGGTGAGTGTGTGACTAGCTGTGGACTTAATCTCTGTTGACCTGTTTTTCTTAACTGTAAAATAGGGCAGCTAGGTGGTATAGCGTATAGAGTGCCAGACCCAGAGTCAGGAAGACTCATCTTCCTGAGTTCAAATCCTGCCTCAGGCACTTACTAGCTGTTTGACCCTAGACAAGTCACTAAACCCTGTTTGCCTCCATTTCCTCATCTGTAAAATAGGGATAACAATAGCACCTGTCCCATAGGATTGTTGTGAGGCTTAAATGAGAGAACAGAAGTAAAGTTCTTTACAAAACTTAAAGCTGTACTTATTAGCTGTGTGACCCTGGGCAAGTCACTTACCCCATTGCCTAGCCAAAAGAAAACAAAACAAACAAAAAAAGCCCCCAAAACCCCAAAACTTAAAGCTGTATATAAATGCTAGCTATTAATCTGTTGAAGATAGGTAGACTAGCTTGGAGGGAAAAGACAACAGAGGCTAAATGACCAGTTAGAATGTCTTTTCATCATTTTAGCTTTGAGCCTCAGTCCAGATAAGAGGAAGGAACACCTAAAGTAGTAGCAGTGGAAATGGCCAGTTGGGAAGAAGCCATATGTCCTTCGGACAAGGCATTGTAGTTGTACTAGAGATCAACAACAAGGAAATAAACATATCCCTAGGAAGAAAGAGAAGTCCTCATCAGGAAGCTTCATATATGCAACAAATGGTCATTCTCGTTCAGTTGTTTCAGTCATGTCTGACTCTTCGTGATCCCATTTGGGGTTTTCTTACTAAAGATATTGGAATGGCTTTGCCATTTCCTTCTCCAAATCATTTGACAGATGAGGAAACTGAGGCAAACAGCATTTGGTGACTTGCCCAGGGTCACACAGCTAGGAAGTGTCTGAGGCTGGATTTGAACTCGGGTCTTCCTGACTCCAGGCCCAGCCCCCTATCCACTGTACCATGTAGCTGCTGTTATTGGCTAATTTCCCCTTCGTATCTGCTCTGCCTGAATCTATTTGCCAGTACTTATGTTGCTCCAGACAGCTATGCAAAACAGTGCTTCTGTGACCATACCATGAACATCTATGCAAGACACACTCAAGGGGCATCTTCTGTGGAAAACAAAGGTGCTACGGTGAGTCACAAAGATCGTACACAAAATGAAAGAAGCCAAGGATCACCACAACGACCTTTGTGTTAGGAGCCCCTTTCAAGAACCACACAAGACACTGCAGATGAAGCCAATCTAGTTTAGTTAACAGCAATGACTTATGACCACCATAGCCCATCCTAAAATAATCTGCAGCTACTGACCATCCCCCGAACCTCAGACTGGCCACAAGGGCCTTCCGAGAATCCATTCTGTGGCCAGCTGGCTCCAGGAGTCCACAGAACCAGGGTCAACATTGTGAACAATCAGGTGCTATGCAAGAAAAGCCTGCTCATATCCTTTAGGAACTCAACATTTCTTGAAGAAGATAACAGGCACAGATTCTGTGAAACAAGGAGGTACTTCATGGCAAAGTGAATAGAGGGATAGACTGTACATTAGAAAGATGTGGATTCAAATTCTACTACCACTTAATAGCTATGAGATCATGAGTAAAGTACTTACCTCCTCAGAGTCTATACCTTCACCACCTACCTCACAGGATTATTATGAAGATCAAAAGACATAATGTTTAAATAGAGTTTTGCAAATCTTAAAGTACTACATAAATGCCAGCTCTTATTATGATTATCATCATTGTTATTAGGCAAGTCCCTTATGAGAGAGCAAGGCAATGCGTACTGGTTTAGAGCAATGAGGGATTACTTCCAACTGAAGATGGAAATTATGCCTTATACTTTGCAAATGTCCCATGATGAGCCAAGTTCAAAGTTTAGCACATGCTAGCAGGCTGTAAGAAAATACTTGTTGACTGAAAATAAATTCTGGGGAAACAGAGACACATAGACAGGAATTGATGCAAAATGAAGTAAGCAGAGCCAAGTAAACAGTATACACAGTGATTTCAACAATGTAAACAGAACAACAATAAAACAACTGAAAGTGAATGTTGCAAAAGTACAAAGAAGAAACTTGGTTCCAGAGGAGACACAGAAGACATCTCCCCCTACTCTTCCACAGAAGCTGGGTTGGGGTTCTCCAGGTGTGGAGCATTGCCAATAATGGCAGATTTTTTCTCCATTTATTATTTTGGTGAATTGATTTCTCTTCCTCTTTTCATTCTTTTTTAAAATTGTGATAGGATGGCTTGCTGGAAGGATGAGGGAAATGGATATATGGGGAAATATAGGTGATGTAAAAGAAGGATATCAATAAAAATCTATTTTTAAAAAAGAAAATAAATCCTGGACAAAGCAAGGAAATATAATATTAGCTCAAATTGGCAGAATACTTTAAGGTTTACAAAGCACTGACCTAACCATAGGGGTGCAAAGTCAGTTGTGTAAACGTTATCCTCATTTTATAGATAAATGAACTGGGGCTCAGAGAGTAACTTACTAACATCATATAAACAAATATGTAACAGAGTTCATATGCAAACTCCAAATTCAGTGTCTTGTCCATAATATCTCACTTCCTCCCAAGACCATGCAGTAAGAGATAAATGAAAGTTTCTATCAGAGAAGTTCCTAAGATTCTAAACATCATACTTCCTGTCAAGACCATTTGGCCAGGGCTCCCTTTTAAATGAAATCATCCATTCACCTCAGAAGCATAGTAAGATGATTCTTGGCTCCATGCATTAGTAGGGATTAGGGTTTCTTCTGGATGGGTTTTGGTTTTGTTTTTCTATGCTCCCCATATATGTACCCAGCCAGAGAGATAAATATAGTGGAGTGGGTTGAGCTTTGGTCAGGGGTTTTAAAATCTAGAGGACCTAACAGCAGGCCTGTCCTTCAGTAGAGTGGAAACAATTAAGTTTAGCATCTAGCTAGCAAAAATAATTAGTTAAAACAGTAACCCACCAGATGGTGGCTTACTCCCTCTGAAAGCCACCCCTCCAGTGAGGGCCCCTCCAGCTTGGCTATCCCCTACTCTTCATCCTCTCCCATCCCCCTCACCACCATGGTAGTCGGTCTCAGGCTCTCCCCTGAACTAAATTGAAAATGCACTGTGTGGTGCTCACCATAGGCAAATTTTGTGGTTTGTCCCGGTGGAGAAATGCTCATTACAGCTCTTCAATCAACCCACTTCTATTCTGCTTTGGAAAAAAAAAAAGTTTCCTGATTTCCAGATTTTTCAATCTTTCTGAGTGTGGCCCCTTTAATTAAGGCTCCTACAAACTTGAAATTGGGCGAGCATCTGGGGGCACTCGTCAGTGGCTCAGCCTGTTGTTTTTGTTTCTTGCGCATTAGAAGTGTCACTGGGGCCAGCTTTTGGCATGTGCCACCTTCTCCGTCTGAGGCTTCTCCTCCCTCCAAGCCCTGTTGCAGCCCATCAGTCAGTCCAGCAAAATTAAGCTCAGAGAAGCTTATCTCTTCCAAGGGCACATGCTCTTATTATGGAAGCAGACAGTGGCAACGTGGAGAAATCCCTCCGTTGGGAGGATTGCTGTGGGATGAACATCTTTCCAGCTCAATAGGTACTTGTAGTGCCTCTGCATGTATAATTTCCAGGACAGAAAGAACAGCTGTATCACGTGTGATAAGTGCCCTGAGCTCTGAGCTCCAGAGAGACCTTCTTAATGCATAGTTTATGATCTTTCCCCCAAAACTCATCCCTCTCTCAAACGTTCTGATTTCTGTCAAAGGCAGCATTGTTCTTCTGGTGTTCCAGGTTCATAACCTCAGCGTCAGGCGTCATCCTTGGCTGGTCCCTCCCAATCAGCTCACATGTTTAGCCACTCGCTACTTCTTGTCATTTTGACCTCTCCATTATCTCTCACATCCAGTTTCTTCTCTCTACTCACATGGCCACACCAGGGTCTCATCATCTTTCTCACCTAGCTTATTGCAACAGACTCTTCATTGGCCTTCCTGCCACAAGTTTCTCCCCACTCCAGCCCCTCCCCCAGATGGCTGCCAAAGTAATTTTCTTTAAGCACGCTAATGATCATGTCACTCCCCTACTCAAAAAAATTCCAGTAGCTCCCTATTCGATCGTAGAACGTGGGAGGCAGGTGTACAATAATGCTGAAAAGACGGGTTTCAAAAACCCCTTCACTAACCTGTCTCCAACCTGTCTTTAGTCTCCTTGTATATTATTCCACCTCCTATTTTCTGTGCTGGAACTAAAATGTCTTTCTCTCTGTTTCTCCTACCCAGTACCTTATCTCTTGTCTCCAAGTCTTTGCTCTGGCTGGCTGCCCCCCATGCCTAAAACACATCCCTTCCTCACCTCTGCCTCATAGAAACTTTCTTTTTCTCCAAGACACAAGTCAAGCGCCGCATTCTCCATGAAGTTACTTCCAGGCCCCCAACTGCTACTGCCCTCTTCCCAAATAACCATTGCATTAAGCATGTGTATTTATTCCCTTGACGTTTATTCTTTACGTGCTTATAGCTTGTCTCTGCCATTAGAATATAACCTTCTTGAGGGTAGAGATCGTTTGATTCTTTGTACAGTATCCCTAGCACCCAGCCCTGTGCCTGGCCCAGAGTGCCTGGCCTGACACTTAAAGTCTTTTCAGTTTGATTGATTGATTGAGAGGGGAGAGAAGGAGCTGGAGAGCACAGATGGCTGGTTGACTGGGGCTCGGTTATTTCCAGGCAATCCTGTTGGGTGAGTTCACAGGTAAGTCATTTCTTGCCTCCCATTTCCTTATCCATTTCTGGGCAGCTGTGTGAACAGAGTCAGCAGAAGCTGAGGAGAAAGAACTGCTGTCTATGTAACACTGATCCCTCTGGCACTCACTGCCTGGAAGGCCAGGTAGGTTAAATTTCACCCCTCCCCCAGGGTTCTCAGGTATTCTTAGAGGGAGCTGGGGGAGAGTCTAGGCTCTCTGCGAATGACCCCAGCCCCTCCAAGATTGTGTTCCCCCAAATGTGAAGTGGGGAGTCCTCTGCCCTCAAGTTCCATTTAGCCACTAACTGTTGAATTAGTTTTTGTAAAGGAATATTTACTTCAAAAGGTAGAATCACAAATATATGGACATATTCTCCCAGTATGTGGGAGGCATAATCCCTCTTCCCCCTTTTACCAGTGGAGAGGGAAAGGGGATTAGGCCCACAGCTAAGCTTGGTTCCTATAGAGTCCCAGTTTCAAGTTCAAAACTCACTTTGGGTTCAAGACACAGGGTTCTTGGCTATTCTCAGGGCCTCTCTACCCAGCCCAGGCCACTTGGAATTCTGGCTCCAAGGTTATCATGAGTCTAACTCCCGAGTCTGGTGAGGATTACTGTTGGCACCTGAAACAGAGAAGGACAAATGAGAGGCAAAAAGCAAACACCCCTGGTCCTGATTCTCCAGGCCTACTTCTCAGAACCAAGGTAAAAGAGAAGGAGCCAGGAAAGTCCTTCCCCTCTCCACAGTTCAGTTCATGGTGCCCATGCTATGGGTGAAGTGGGATGAAGATTCACCCTCTGGATGCAATGGAAGGAATATTTGGAAAAAAGAGAGACTGTCCTAGCCTGGCCAGTTTTAAAGACTCTGGCCTTTCTGGCTAGACAGCCAATCAGAGGAGGCTACCCTCACCCACCATGCGGTAGGGGGAAGAGACAGCCTCTATGTTAGGCCATCTGGGCATGCCCACCTAAGTCCTATTATAACTTGCTGGCAAAGTTTGCAAAATAGGTGTGCTTTCCCAGCTAAGATGGTCGATGAATCGTTCATACATACAGCCAGCTAAGCTGGGAGGATCCTTAGAGACTACCCCATCCAGTCTCTCTCATTTTGTTTCATTCTTTCAACTTGTACCAAGCACAGTGCCTAGCACAAAGAAAATCCTGAATAATACTTTCTGATTGTTTGACTTTACAGAAGAGGAAACTCAGACCCAGAGAAGGGACATGGTTTGACTAGGTCTAAAAGTAAGTTCCCAGAAAGCAAAGCTGGAACCCAAGTGTCCTAACACCCACATCAGGACTTTTCCTACCAAAACATGTTATCTTCCTTTGCAAAAAAAGGTTAACGGCTATAGTCCCTAGGCTTAGCATTTCCTGATCAGGAAGGGTTAAGTGAGTTCTATTGTGATCACGCCTGTCTCTTCTTCCCTTGTGACAAGCCTTGTCCTTTTTTTTTTTTCCCTTTGATGGATGGCTTCTTCTTTCAAGGATTTTTCCATTGTTATAAGTTAAATCGTTTCTTAAAAGTGAGTGTAATAACCCTGCTTAGGAAATTGATGGGAAGGAAAGTGTGGCCTGCTATCCCATGGATTCTTTTTCTCTAAAAATCATAAGAAACATGTGTTTTACAAATTAACACAGTTCAAAACAGTGTGACAGTTTCTTCTCTCTCTCTCTCTCTCTCCTCTCTCTCTCTCTCTCTCTCTCTCTCTCTCTCTCTCTCTCTCTCTCTCTCTCTCTCTCTCTCCCCCCCCCCCCAATGATCAGAGATCATCAAAGCTTCCTAAAAGAATGCTTAGTCTTTCTCCTCCTCTGGAGCTCAGCCATCATTGTTGCCTTTGAAACTGACTGTTAAGTCCCAACATAGCTACTGAACCTATTCCCCACCCCATTCAGAACATTGCCATTCCTGTTTAGATCAGGGGTTAATAGACTGCCTCTGGTATTCTGGCCTCCCACATGGGAGAGCATATTAATTGATTAATTAATTAAACAAGCATTTATTTAGCATCTTCTGGAGGCAGTTAATGATCCACGAGGAACTTACAATTTATTATGAGTGATAAAAAAATAAAAACGTACACATAGGAAAAATATAATTTCACATGTATATGTGCCTAAAAGCAAGAGAAAGTGCTTAGAGATCATCTGAGGGTTCAGATCACATCCAGCTCAAGGAGATAGGGGAAAGGGATGGGTAGAATATCAGTATATGATAATTCCAGAAATAGGAAACTGAGTAAAAGGGAGAAGATTGGAGAACACAGGACTTGTTTGTTTGAGGGGGACAGTGAAGGGTCATGTCTGAGTTGTGGGACATATTCACTACTTCATTTCATTTATAAATTATTAAATGCTTATTGTAGACAGAGTACAGAGTTGGGCATTAGGGACGATGCAAAGCTTAGATATTTTCAATTCAAGAAGCATTTATTAAATCCCTGCTATGTGCCAAGAGTTGTGTTAAGCTTTTGGGATACAGAGACAAAATTTAAAAAAAAATACAAACCTGTCAGCTCCTCAAGGAGCTTACCCTTTATTGCTCATGTTCATGGATAAGTAAATGCAAAGTAATTTGGTGGTGGTGGTAGTGAGCGGGGAGTTGCTTTAACAGCTGAGAGAATCGGAAAAGCTCCTTGGAGGAGGTGGCCCCTGAGCCTTGGAGAATTCTGAGAGACTAAACTCAGGAGGGAAGGTTTTTCAGGTATATAGGACAGCATGATCAAAGGCATGGAGCCTGGAGATTGTATGTTATGCCTGATTACTGCCCTCAGGGAGCTTATAGTCTAGTCAAGGAAATAGATTATACAAGTGACAAGAAGTGTTACCTCTCATTACATAATAAGACAATGAATAAGTGATATGCAAATTGCTAAGCCAGGTTGAAGGAGGAAGACCATTACCTACAGGGATTCAGGGAAGGCTTCATAGAAGACTGGACATTTAACTTAGGCTTTTAAGGATGAGTAGGAACAATGCCATCAGGTGGTGTCCCCATCATCAAAACATCTGCTGAAACTCTCTACCCACAAGCAGAGCAACTAATGAGTTTTGCCTTCATGATAATTTCATCCTTTAAAAAATGGAGAAACCAATGAGAATATCTTCTTTTCTGGATCTGATTCTCATCAGCAGAGTAGAACTCATTGCTAGGATGAAAATTAATGAAATCTTGGTGGGGGAGGAGGTAGAGAGAAATAGACACTCCATTTTAGAATTTATGATTGAGAGAGGAAAAACTGAGCCCACTGACATGCTCCATAGGTTTTAGGAGAATAAATTTGAGAGGGTTCAGAGAAAGATAGGTTACCATGACCTGAGATTTTGAGGGGAATTAAACCCAGGAGAAATGGGAAGCTCTTGATTCCACAGACCTGGAAGTGGAAGCACAGGGACTAACTTTAATTTTAAGAAGATGGAAGTAAAGTAAGGTAATAGAGGATGAATATAAAATATGAGCATAGTCTTACAAGAACAGTGTCAGGATCAGTCTTGGTCATGGAGGATAATGATGAAGCACATTTTCCTCTTCTTTGTGGGAACGTGCACTACAAGTATGGAATATGGTGTAAACTTTCAGATGTCGTCACTATGTCATTTGTGTTTTCCTTAGTTACGTGGGAAGTCTCCAATAAAAGGAGTGAGGAATGGTATATCTCAGGAAGTGACTATGACATTAGGAGGGAAAGGGTATCATTACAATCCATGGGGTTTTTTTTTGTTTGTTTAAATAATAGAAGTGCTAAAACTCAATTAGCTGAGGTTGCAAGGAGAACTAAAGACCATAGAAAAGGTTGGGTTTTTTTTTTCACTCTGTTAAGGAAGACAATCAGTGATGGTCATTGGTAAGGATAGATGAGACAGTGATATCAGAGGATGGAAATAAGACTGAACTATTTGGCTATTGTGGTTTCTGTTTATTTTTCCAAGAAAAATTATTGTGGGGCTGGAAAGAGCAGAAGATAACTAACAGGGAGATGATGCCCAAAATAAATAGGGAAACATTAAGTGAGCAACTCACTGCCCTTGACAAGTTCAGCACAACCAGGTGAACTACATCCTCGGTTACTGTAAAACCTGGGACGTGTGATTGCCAAGCTTCTGTTAGCTGTCTTTGAGAGGCTGTGGGGAGAATGGGAGACTACTGGAAGGCCAAAGAAGGGAAAGGATTCTGATTTTCAAAAAACGAACAGAATAGAGTCGGTTATTTAGAGGGCAGTGAGTTTGATTTCAATTCTTGACAAATTTCTAAGGCACATTATTAAAAAGTAGTTAGGGAACATCAAAGAGAGGAAGTGGTTATTCCAAAGACTTAGCACGGCTTCATCAAGAACAGGCTATGCCAAATTAACCTCGTTTTCTTTTTTGATAGTGAGTAGACTGGTAGATTAGTAACAGGCAATAGATAGAGTTTACTTAGATTTTGGCAAATATTTGACCAAGTCGCTCATGCTATTCTTGTGGACCAGACGGAGAGATGAAGATTAGAAGACAATACAGTAATGACTGAATGGCTGTACTCGAAATGGAGGCATTAATGGTTTAAAGTCAGCTTTGATGGAGGTTTCCAGTGGTATCACCTAGATATCTGTGCTTGACCCTGTATTTTTTAACATTGTCACCAGTGATGTGGATAAAAGTATAGGTGGAATTTTTATAAGTTTGCAGACTAAACAAAGCTAGTAGAATAGCTGATATGTTGGATAATAGTCAGGGCCCAGAAATATCTCAGCCATCTAGAAGGTTGGGCTGAATTTAATCAGATGAAATTGAAAAGAGATAAATGTAAAGTTCCGCACAGGCTCAAAAATTCAACTTTATATATCAAATATGGGGCACATAGCTAAACAGTAATTTGTTTGAAGAAAATCTGTATAGTTTAGTGGACCCCAAGCCCAATAGGAGTCAATAGTGCCATAGGGCAGCCAACAAAGTTAATTAAATCTCTCTCTTCATTGAAAATAGCATGGTGTCCAGGACTGAGGAGATGATAGTTCCTCTGCACTCAGTCTTGGTCTCATCATCTCTAGAGTATTATTTTTACTTCTGGTCACCCAAGGTTAGGGAAGCTGTTGGTAACTGGTACAGTTGCATACCAAGCAATCATAATGGTGAGGGGACTTGAGATAATGTTATATGAAGATGA